CTTCCTTCTCGACAGTTAGATCTTTGTAAAATCAACAATCTCACCTTTTTTTTTTATGTACAATAATGATTATGGCTCGAATTGGAGTAAATTTTTACATATTTTTTTTTCAAAATTATTTGGGAGAACATTCTTTATAATGCTATATCACTTAAAATTAGTGGATATTTGTAAGAAATTAGCAGGAAATTTTGTCAACAATTTCCTAAATTTTGTCAAAAAGTGTGTATTATGTATTTCAAAATTTAATTTTTATAAGGCTCTTTGTTTTTTGTATGTTAAAATGTACTGATTTCCTTGTTGAAATTTGATATTCCAAAGTATCATCATTTATTAATATTTTTTTTAATTCTAATATTCAACAACAACAACAACAGCAACAACAAGCCTTTTATCCCACTAAGTGCGGTCGGCTACATGAATCTGTTTTGTCCATTAGGTCCTAATGAGCGTCATATTTTTATATAATTTTAATAAATTAAGCTTATATTTTATGCAATATGCTCAAGTCTTTCTAGATCTATGTTTGTCTTTCTTAACATAAGTCAAATCTAAAACATGCCTCCTTCTAGCAGAATTATCCAATGATCCGACGTCAAATCATTTAAGACCACTCCATCTAATTCACTGGAGCAATTATTAATTTAGTATTGACAATAATTTTTATTTATTATATTATATTTCTGTAATGTGTGGCGACCAAAGTTTCACATTTCTTCATCTAATGCTCATGCACCTACTTGTGTTATCTTTTCAATTATTTACATATTTTTTTTATAAAATGCAATTATTACTTCTCTCTCGTTGTTATACAATACAATTATTAAGCCTATCTACGTCTCTCTTTTTTTTATGTATTTTCGTGGCGTCGGTTTAGGCCTCCTAGGAGGCAATTATGATTTATTACTTGTTGTTCAGTATGTTGGGACGAGCAATTTCTACTGGAGCAAATGATTCTATGAAGGCTAAGCGAGCAATTGAGATCTTTGGCGAGTCCACAATGATCTTTAGATCAGTTCTTACCGGAGGGTGACTTACTCTTCAATTATGATGTTTTTTTATTGGACTGGTAGTCGGGAGAGATATAGATTGTTATCTCGACTAGGCCCCATAATTTTTTCTCTTCTTGGATTTTTTTATGTAAAAATTTTTAGTATCTCCTCTTGCTACTGTCAAATTATTTGTGTGTTTGATGGATCATCATACAATATGAAGTTGTTAAATTATCACTCTATTGCTGCAAATCTTTCGATGCACAATAGTTTGGTGTCGTTTGTGGAAACTGAAGTCTCGTTGATAAAGATCTACACTTCTTTGATGGATAATAAGTGCAGCACACAATCTGCTCATTCTAACACCCATCATTCAAGGGTATTGTGTCTAATTTTGGGATGAAAAGCCTCAACTCTATTTCCCAGAAATACAGATCACCCTCCCTCGAGGTTTGTATGAAGAGAAAGAAGGAATCTCAAAATGAGATTAATGAGATTCTATCTCAAACTTGACAACCAATAGTAGCACAAGTGAGTGATGTTCATCTACCTTTAGGTCAATCATCACTCAGAGCTCCCAAGATAGCGGATGTTCCACTACAACCTCTCATCACTCTGGAGTTCTTCTTCACTGGGTTAGGAAGCTGATTTCTTAGATATTGTTATTTAACACATCCATCTTATGCAGTAGAACCAAATTTGAACCCTCCAACACTTTTAGAAAACTTAGCTCAGTCACATCATATAATAAATGGTTATCTGCTTGATTTAAGGGACCAAAGGACCCCCTTTGTTAAAATCTCAGGCAATCAAATCAAAGTAGAATTCGGCCTAGCGCAGGTGAGCTAGGGTCGCGGTGCGGGTGTGTCAGGGTCCACTCGATAGAGCATGAATGCACCTAAAAAGAGGTATGCGCTTTCTATGCTCTCTGTTTTGAGTCTAGTGTGGGAGTGTCGGGTTTAGTGCGAGTGCGCTCAAAAGGTGGCCTGGGTTTTTGGTGCTCTTTATTTGCCAGCACGGGGCCAATGTGGATTAAGCATTGGTGCACCATAAGAACAAATGCACAGATGCACCGTAGAACTGATGGTGCGACAATATCCAAGCCCAGTAGTGGTGTACTCAAAATAATATTTTACTTTGAAGCATTCAGTGCGACCCAATACACAATTGGACGTTCGTGAGCCATGGAGCACTCCAGAAGGATGGAGTATAATACAGTAAGCTTAAAAGAACGTATCAGTAGTATGACATGTAAAAATGATGCCAACAGCCTTTCTATACTTCCTCCAACAAACAACCAAATTTATCCTGTTGGAAATCCCTATCAACAACCTTCCAAATGGTGTAATGAGGGAAAGATAACAGTCACCTCTTGATCTTCACCCCATCAGCCACAGGATGTTTTTGGTGCATTTTAGTTTCGCTGACGGGAACTTCCTGAGGGGTGACATTGACCCACCAGCCAGTAGAGGAAGATCCCACCATAAATTATTTCCTCTAGTCCTTTATCTTGTTTTGGCAATAAGAGTTAGAGTCTGTAACCAGAAGAAAAGACCATCTTTATTGATCTTGAACCAAAAGTAGTAGTTAACCAAAGCTTTAGACCATTGAATGGCTAAACAGTGGCAGAAAATGAATTTTGAAAGTCATGATCATGGCGATCGAGTTCGGCATGACTTACCCCGAAATCAACCTATACCAATCGAAATCACCCTTCAACTTGGTACAAAATGGGAGCCACAAACCACATCAAAATTGATCTTCATAGAACACCAGGTCATTTCAAAATTGCCAGTCGTTCAGTCGAAACTTCTGACAGTTCAAAGTTTAACAGTTTTATGAAATATTATTTCCATTAACAATTGTGCATCTTCCTCAGTTAAGGCATAAGCATCGACTGCGGAATAAGTACCGAAAACATTAGGAGAATACTTATGAGACATGCAGTGAATCTGAGAAAAGAGAAGTATCAACCTTGGAAAAGTGTTACCCACAACGCATCCTATCCTATTTATATCAAGGAAGGTATAGGAGTCACAATGTTAGGAGGCCATCATTTCAAATGTCTCGACATTCAAACAAAAAATTACATCACATCACTTCACCTTAAATATATGATAATAAAAATACTAAAACCTATTATTTTATTGAAATGAAAGATAGTTACATCAACTTTTCTGAGAGAAAATATTTGACAAAAGAGTCTTCGGGCACTTGAGCCGAGACATGTCCTTGAATAAGTAATCACTTAAAAAATAGTTCATCACCTAACCTTAATTAATTGCCCTGATTGACCTCCTACTAAGTTTGGCCAATCTACAACTCTATGCAGAGAGCCATCACCACATTATGGAGAATGCGCATTTGTTCACCCATTCTCTCAACTCAAGCCTGCAGATCTTGGACAACATCATTGCTTGGTCCCTTAGTTGCCCACTCAAGAGAATCCACCATCTCATTCACTCTAGATTCCAGTGACCTGAAAGATTGATGTTGACCGCCGTCCATTCCTTGGGAAGTGGTGAAAAGGCTGACAATCTGTAATCAATTGTTGGTTCTCCCTAGTTGTTTAATGAAGCACGACCGTCAAGATTATAGGATTAACAACATCATTGGCCACTCGAGGAACACCAATATCTGGAATTAGCTCAAGGGCAATGTGGAAGACTTGGATAGAAGTCTAAACTATCTGCACTTCGGATGGAGGAACGTAGGAAATGACTATTATACTATGTTGTTCCAAAACACTAACCACCTCCTGATTGATCAGATCAACCCAGCGAGTCACTTCCTCAACGATTAGAACAGGGTCCGTGAGAGGAACCAGAATCCCAAGGTCTTTCTCCACTCGTGCTACTTTCTCTGGCCGATCGATATTAGGGCTAGCCGAATATGCAACCTGATCATTTTAATCGATCATATGGTCTTCGTGCTTCTTCTTGCTCACCACTACCATCTTCTTCTTCGTTTTTCAAAAACAGTGAGAGCTTAGGGTGCTGAAACTCTTCCAAAGCCATCTGAAGTGAAGCGTTATCAAAACGATCCAGAGCACTTACATCAAACATTATGGCGTTTGAAATCTAATATCAGAATGAGAAGGGAAACTACTGACCCTATTTATAGAAGTTCTATGGGCACAAAAAACTAGAAAGTAATCATTACAATTTTATGAGATTTAATTATTCACTTTCTTATTCATATTGTAGTTAAGAGTAATAAAATCGAGGAACTAATATGTATACAGGAAAAATGTCAACACGCATTTTAAAGGTATTAAGCGGTTTGAAGGGACTCCACAACTACCGATCGAAAATGCATACTATGGATTATCAAGCAAATGACTGGCTTAGCATGCTCGCCCAAACAACCAGTAATCTCGTCGACCAAAATGGCTGGTTGAATCAGCCGACCAAAATAATCGATTATAAATGAGACAACCGACATTTAGAAGTAAAAATCAATTTTTCAAATATTATATCTAATAATCTTAACCATTCATGAAAAATGACGCCCATTCAATTATTTGTATTAGAGAGATGATTATATTAATCACCCAAAGTAGGAAAAAGACATGATATCCTCTAATCATTGAGGTATATGGCGATAATAGTGTAAATTTAACCTCGAGCCATCTATTATTATACATAAGAGTTATTTTATGAGTAAAGAACTAATTAATCATTTTCTCGATATTCATATTACCCTCTATCCTAATTTTAATAATTTGTCCCGTACTCTTAACTCTCCATCTTAAATACTATGAGGATTTAGGATCTAACGAGCAATTATTCTGTCCGGACACCGGACACGAGTTATGTCTAACATACATGTTTTAATAAATTTTTGGTTTTAACTAGGTTTATGTTGATTTTTGGATGGGTTGTCGTGTTCCCTCTTATTCATTTGAAGTCAAAGGTGGGGGTTTCATTATTTTTGTGTTATCTTGATTGCCTGCCGTTCAATTTTTAACAAATAATATGGCACGCCGCAATGTGAGTTCCCATAGTTCAAAATTCAATGTTATCTCCACTCCACCGCGACAAAAGCCTCGTCATCAGCGCAAACCACGCACCGGAGCCAAAATCGTTTTATAGATACAACGCAAAGCGATTGTTAGCAAGCAACACCAGCAATGGCCGCCAAATACCATGGCGAAGGCCACCACCATTTCCTAATGGTGATCCTTGCCGCACAAGGTCATATTAATCCCGCCCGTCACTTGGCACGCCGCCTCGCTCGAACCGCCGAAGCACGCGTCACCATCGCCAATCCTCTCTCTTCCCATCGCCGGTTATTTCCTTCCTCCTCTGCTTCTGCCGGCGAGCCCGACGAAAACGCAGAGGAGGCGCCCCTTGATCCAAACGGCTCCGGAGTGGTCGCCTATTCGCCTTACTCCGACGGCTTTGATGACCATGACCGCCTGGACAACATCGACCCAGATCTTCTCATGGAAAGGCTCAAGACAAATGGATCCCAAACCCTCGCAAACCTTGCCCGTAACCTCGCCGCCAGGGGTCGCCCAGTGACCTGCTTATTGTACACCATCATACTTTCTTGGACGGCCGACATTGCCCGTGATCTCGGCATCCCTGCCGTTCATTATTGGATCCAGCCAGCCTCCGTCTTCGCCATCTACTACCACTACTTCCACGCCCACCCAGGCTTCTCCTTCGTCTCCACCGACGGTAATGACTCATCTCACGCCATAGAACTGCCCGGTCTACCTCCGCTAAGGAATAAAGACCTCCCCTCCATCATCACCAACCCAAACGCCTTCCTGAATGGTCACATGGATGTATTCAACGAGCTCGGTAAGACCAAGAAGCCCATGGTTTTATTCAACACGTTTCATCAACTGGAATCAGAGGCAATAGACGGGATCCAGGGATTGGAATTGTTCACGATTGGGCCGACAGGGAACAAGAACTACATGCCAGAGGTTGTGGGAAGCAGGGATCTGTTCGTGGAGGACAAGGGTGGTTACATGGAGTGGTTGGAGGCGCAGGAGGAACGATCAGTGGTGTACGTTGCTTTTGGAAGTATGTCGCGAATGACCGGGCGGCAAGTGAAGGAGATGTATCTGGGGCTGAAGGAGAGCGGATTGCCGTACTTGTGGGTGCTGCGGAAGGATAGCAGACCGGAAGGGGTGGAGGTTGAGATGGATTTGAAGGACAAGAAGGGGATAGTGGTGGAGTGGTGCTCGCAAGTTAGGGTTCTGGAGCACAAAGCGGTGGGGGGCTTCGTAACGCACTGCGGATGGAACTCTATGTGTGAGGCGGTGGTGAGCGGCGTGCCGATGGTGATGCTGCCGCAATGGATTGATCAGATGACGAATGCAAGGTTGGCGGAGATGGTGTGGGGGATTGGGGTGACGGTGGAGGCAGGGGAGGATGGGATTCTGGAAGCCGCGGAGCTGAGGCGGGGTTTGGATGCAGTGATGGGGGAAGGGGATTGTGCAGTAGGGATTAGGAGGAAAGTAGAGGGCTGGAAGGAAAAGGCCAGGGCGGCGCTAGCGGAAGAGGGATCATCAGGCAGGAACCTCAAGGCGTTTGTGAGTAGTCTTTGCGAGTAGGGATGAATGTAGTTTTAAATATTTTTTTTTTAATTTAAATTTTTAGAATATTATAGAAAAAAACTATACACAAAAGAATATTCAGTATTCAGAATCTAAAAATGTAAAAGATAGAATCTTTTAAAATAGTTAAAAAAGGGTGCATTTATATACCTACTATACAATTATTATATATTATATATCTAGTGCTTTAATATCTTATTTGCATGCTTACCAGTGAAATTTTTAAAATTTTATGAAACTTTTTTCCATCAATATCTTTTTAAAACTTAAACAACTTAATTATAATTTTTCATGTGTAGACTTATGACACGAAAGTGTCATTAATATTGATACGTCATCAACATATTTCATTGTTCGATGTGAATCTCGAAGCATAAAACGAGTCTTGAGGAAATATTCACTTTGATTAAACTTCTTCCAAAACTTTGGTTTCAACAAATTTGTAGTCAACCTGACCGGCTCTACAATACAACTACAATGATATCAAAATTGATCTGATCCAAATCAAATGAAGCCTAGATCAAATCATTTAACAAATTTCAGAAGTTTTCGTGCATAAATGAAATATCAAACTGATTCCGACTATGAAATCAAGCTTTTTGACAAGAGGAATCCAATGAACTCTAGAGAACTCAATACTAACATAATTAACACACTTAAATGTCCACAGAATACAGTCTGATCGAGGGAATCTTTCTAAGTTGTCTGATCTAAGTGCTCTAGATTACTTCCTTAATTACAATCTGGACTCTATAAATAGAGCTCCTCCTCCCTCTTGTAAGGGGACTAGAATCTTGAGCAAGAGGAAGACCAAAAACCTCGATAAAAGAAAGTTGAAGTCCAGTATCATGCTCTGGTGATTTAACGAACGCTTCAAGCTCCTATAGCCACCGACCGCCGTTGACCAGTGCTTATCAGCTACCGCCGACCACTATCGATTGCTACCCTCTCCTAGCAATGAAGCTCTTTGTAGAACATAGATGCACTCGACATATCAGCGTACATGATAAAATAGAGAAATACTCGCAGAGTCACACGCCTTCCTGATCATTAGGTATCAACGAACTTTAAAGATGGGAAACTGCAGTACAAGAAACTTTTACCAACTGCAATCATATCCGACCGCTGTGTAGCTGAGATTGTATCTTGAGAAACTATGCATTCCTCTCATGCTTATGAGACAAGGACCTGGGTGTGTTATCGTTATTTCATTGTGGATTATTCTGACCAGGCAAGACCCCGTGTTTTTTTTTCTTATTCAGGTTTTCTGCTTAAAAGCTTTTGTTATTTGTACTTATTGTTCTCTTTTATCTAAGTGTGTATTGGAATTTTGTACGATGCAAAGATAATAATTAATTACTCTATCTCCATGAATATTCTATCACGCATCATTTTTGCATCATCCGTGAGAAAAAAATTATCCTACCATTGATGTACTTGCAAGACTTTTTGCATGGTCGTCAAATGCAATACTCGCAACAATAGAGTGTCCTGCTCAAAAACCTAACATTCCAGGGGACAGTAGTGGAGCCAAGGGTGTCAGGCATCCGTGTCTTCCCATCCTAGGAAGTGTTATTCTTCAGTTCCTACATGAAGCTCTACAACTATTGTCCACACAACCAGACAAAACATATTTATTTCCATCTCAATAACTAATGGGAAATGACCCACTCAAACTTACTTGTATTGCCCCCCTTCGTACGTTGGAACCATTCCCTTGCTAGGACAAGATGTTAACCTTCTTGACACTTTAGGTTCCTCTCATCCACCCATGAAGCTCACCTGGTGTTGCCCTGCCTTACTGCCACTTTTGATGATGCCATCTTTGATGAGCTATGACGCCTAGTTCAGGAAGTTTTCCCTTTATGGATAGGGATTGCTTCTCCGCTCGCCCCAACATTTAGGAATCCTTTCCCTTAGTCGTAGCAGTCTTCCAATATCCTATCCTAATGAGTTTTAAGCTCTCAGAAATTGGTTCCTATGAGGGGGTATCTGAACCCTACGAGCATGTTGAGCACTACCAAACCATCATGCACATTCAACATGTCTCTGATGCACTTCTCTGTCAAGTATTCCCATCCACTCATAAATTCCAAGCTCAAACTTAGTTCAACTCTTTTTCATGAGCACTATCAACACCTTTAATGAGCTTTTCATATTATTCATGGAGTAGTTCATTAAAACTAGACGATCATCAAAGATTTATCACATCTCTCAGGAATTCACCAAGAGAATCGCTCAAGTACTACTTTCGTACTCTAATGAAGCTTGTCAGATTTTGGGAGGGGCCTTCTTTCGGGGAGCACTGCCTAGGCCATTCTACTCATTATTAATGTGAGACATGGCTCTTTCTTATTTTAATCTAATCAATCATGTAGAAGCTCAAATCACTTGAGTGATTTGAGAAGAAGTGTTAGAATTCTGTTGGGAGCGTCAATCAAACCTCATAACTAAGAAAGTTTGAATATTAGGGGAATTGTAGCCTCCTTCCTCAACCTACAGGCCATCAATGTGAGCCTTAGCCTAAGGAGTATACACCACTCAACACGTGGTACATCAATAAGGTCATCAAGGATGAAGTGATTCTTAAGTGGCCTCACACCCTGAAGCCTAACTTAGAGAATCACGAGCAATACTCTCACTTCCACTAGAGTCGTGATCACACCATCAAATCATGTAAACAACTCAAGAAAGAGATCGAAAGACTAGTTTGACAAAGAAATACGAGTTAGTTTGTGTAGAAAAAAATCAAATTGGTATTGATAACGCTCTCATGGGGGGAAATAAATGCATAAGCAATAACATGAGGGTCACCAAGTAGTTGATAAAAATTAAGTAATTGCTGGAGGCTTATTACAGTTTGGCCATGTTCTTATCATTACACATAGAGAACCAGCATAGAAGAAACTGCACTTTGAGCCCATCACATTTAATGATTATGACCTGGAAGGAGTCCAAATCCCCTGTCAAAATCATCTTGTCATCAGTGCAGAAATTAGATAACTCTACTACAACATGAAGAGGATCATAATCGATAATAACTTTTTCAATGTCCTATTCTTCTGCACTTTTCTTAGTCTGGGGCTAACTAAGGAGAATACTTATTCTGCATTTGGGCCATTGAATGGGTTCGATAGCTGCCCATAAAAGTCAAAGGTACACTAAATCTGCATGTTGTTATGGGAGAAGTTTCCCGACAAGTGACTCACTCCATCCAGTTCATCGTTGTCAAGTTAAAATCAGTGTATAACACTATCTTCACCCCTGTAGAGATCAACGTTGTGAGTGGATACCAATAGATAGCACAGTCATACTACCTCAGGAAAGTCTACCCATGTTCATTAGTGATGCTGGATTTGAAAATTTTGATCTTTGAGATGAGAATGTATCTTAATGAGCTTCCTCTGTAGAAGCCTTGATCCATGTTATGCTCTTCTGTGACCACCCCTCATGAACGGTGTAACTTGGTTCCTTACTCTCTAATGAGTAGAGGTTAGAATATGTAGATCTTCTGAGAGGAACTAAGACATTTTTATAATGACCCTCATTAAAGGTGGATCAGCCTTTCGAGCATATCATATAAAAGAAACACTTCATGTTGAATCACTTACAAACCATCAAATAGGAAGTCAACAAGATTTTGAAAGTGAGGTTCATTTACGAGGTGCACCACCCTGCATGGTTGGCAAATATCATCATAGTTAAGAATGCTAGCGACACTTGGAGAATGTGTGTTGATTATACTAATCTCAATAAGGCATATTCAAAAGACAACTTTCTCCTGCCATAAATAGATCAACTTTTTGGTGGATAGGAAACTAGGTGCACAATTTCTTGGTTGCCTATTCAAGGTACAATAAGATACATATGAATATGTTAGATGAGGATGCCACCTCCTTCCAAACAAGTCAGGTTTTATACTGTTAGTAGGTCATGTTGTTGGGGTTGAAGAACGATATGCCTTATGAATGCCTTTAGAGATCTCCTCGGGCACATGAAGGAGGTATATGTTAATTGCTTGCTGGTACAAAGCTTGGAAGCATCCGGGTTAAATGTGCCTTAAATGCCACATCAGGAAAGTTTTTAGGATTCTTGGTCACCTATCATGAAATTGAGGCAAATATAGAGAGCATCAAGACATTGAGACATATGGTTCCCTTAAGGAACATCAAGGAAGTGGAATGCTTGAATAGACACTTATCCACCCTATTCTGCTTCTTGGCTTTCTCTGAGGATAAGTATCTTTTGCTCTTGAAGATACTGAGAGGTGCTCACATTGTCTCCTTTTAATGGATAGATGAATTTCATGTCACTTTTGAGAAACTCAAGACCTATTTAGCCTCGCCGCCCCTCTTTTCAAAGCCTATCTAAGTTGAGATGTTGTATATCTACATAGCCATTTCACCCCCATGTAATAAGTTCTGTTCTAATTAAAGAGGAAGGTTTAACCCAATGATCCATCTACTATGTAAGAAAGATTCTCTTCAACATGAAGTGTCATTACCCATTGGCAAACAAGAATATGATAACCAAGGTATTCTTAGCTAGAAGATAATGTTCATACTTCTAGGCCCACACCATCAGCATCTACACACAACTCCTTCTGAAGGCTATCTTGCGAAGGCCAAAAGCATCAAGAAGATTATTTAAATTGTGAGTTAGGAGTATATGAAATTTGCTACCTCCCTTGACTAAGCATCAAATCACAAGTACTAACTGAATTTATGGTTGAATGCACAGTGTCTGCTGATCCACCTAAAAATAATCTATTTTTAGTGCACATTTTATTAGCAATTTATGTACATTTTTTATGATATTGCATTTTAAAGAAAGATATTTTGCATGTTTTTGGTTTTAGGTTGTTGACCTCACTTTTGGTTGAGGTTTAGATTTTCCTCTTTAGTAGCCTAAGGTCTAGCCATAAGATTTTCCTATTGACTATTCTTAGAAAATTAGAAAAGGAACCCTCACCATTAGAAATTCTAAACTCATCCTTGCTCAACTTGAGGCTTTACATATTGG